TATAATCATTTCCTAGATTAGATTTCAGAGTTAATTAGAGAGAATAGAAAAAGTCATACATATAGTATTGATACAGTTATTACTGTGCAACCTATCAACCCTTGATATTCTCATATCTCAACAGATAATACAATAAGGAGCATGATTAGTGCTGAGCTCTAGAGTGTAGTGTGTAGCGTGTTGCATCGCTAACAAAAGGGAGTCTGTATCCAAGGTTCAGCTCCACCAGTTCATCCGGAAAAGATGGACAATTGTCTCCTGTTGAGATTAACAATTTAACTCAATGGAGGCTCTATGAATTTGGTTTTATTTTCTATTTTTGATTGATGTATTTAAATCTTCAAATATTATTGTTCAGCTATCCTGCTTTCATTTCTATCATTTTGTGCTTCATATTTTCTGATGCTTTGTTGAATGCATATTTTAATTTTTATTTTTATTTGATATTCCTTATTCTATTTATATTAATTTTTAACTTTTATATCTAATATTTAATTCTATCTTCATGGTAGATTGACATTTTTATTCTTATAAAGCATCCTTTTGTTTTTTAATAACATATTTTTGTTGGTTTTTAAGTCTGATATTTTCCTGGTCTTTGGCTGCTGTTTGCAGGTGTCTTTTTCCATTCCGTCATTACATCAGTTTATTTTTAACTTTGAATCTGAAGAACTTCTCCCATATACATCAACCTGCTGGATCTTACAAATTCAGTTAGACAGTCTTTGTCTTGGGGTTTTGTTGAATTGATTCATTCTTCATGGTATCTGTATAGAGTTGTGCTCTTGCTTACAGAGCACAGCTTTCTCCCTATACTGTCTTTTGTTTCTCTATTAATTTCTTGTTTTCTTTGGCATCAAGTAAATATTTTAATGCACTCAGTGTATGTTGTTGAATGCCAGTGAGACAGAACCAACCCATAGCTGACCCTCCGTCAGGTTTTCAGAGGCAGTAAATTGCAGAGGAGGAGATTTCCCATCCTTTTTCTGCAGAGCAGCGGGTGGATTCGAACCATGTGCCTTTAGCTTCTTTCCACTAGGCCATCAGAGCTCCCTAAACGCATAGAAACAAAGAATTTTTTAATACATTTAAGAAAATTTTTCATGGCTATTGCTTTCCTTTTTAGAGATGAAATAATAAAGTGCTACAAAGGAAAGTGTATCTGTTAAAGGATGTGCTAAGTGGGTGGAGTAGGGCCCTGAACAAAAAGATGGTGATCGAATAATGCATTTTTCTCAAGAAAGGCTATGGATTATTTGTGCAATTCTTTCCATATTAGTTGTACTGTAAACCATTAGGAATATTCTTCTCCATCTCAACATCAAGAAAGCAAAGAGTCCTCACCACAGGACCAAGAGTCAAGATTATGATAGATAGAGAAAAGATTGAAGTTGTCAATAACTTAATCTTCCTTGTGTCAACAATCAACACCCTTTGTACCAGCAGTGAAGAAGTTAAATGTATTTTATTGGGCAAGTCTGCTGTCAGGGGCTTCTACAAAATACCAAAGAGCAATGACATAAGTTTGAAGACCAAGGTACACCTCATTTAGGCCATGGTCTTCTCACTCTCGCACTACATCTCAGAAAACTGGACAGTGAATAAGGATGGCAGAAGAAGAATTGACTTATTTAATTTGTGGTGCTGGAGAAGAATACTGAGTATCTCATGGACTGCCAAAAGAAACAAATAGATTTGTCTTGGAGAAAGTGCAGCCAGAGTGTTCTTTGGAGGCAAGGAGGACAAACCTTTGTCTTTGATGCTTTGAACTTAGAAAGGGACATAATGCTTGGAAAGATAGAGGGTCAGCAAAGGAGAGGTGGACCCCTAAAGAAATAGATTGACAGGGGACTTCAACAATGGGCTCAAGTGTGTCAGATGATGAGGATGGCAAAGGATAGGGCACTGTTCAGGTCAGCTCTTTAGAGGGTTGCTACAAGTTGTATTTTATGATGGCACCTAACACTTGAAATTTAGACAAATATTTCTGCTACTATCTATCTACTCTCAACATTCTTAATAAAATAACAGTGATTAGTTTATGTGAAAAATAAGCTCTGTATATGTTTGGAGGACTTATGCATATGTTTGTGGTCAGTACTGTATACATTACTGTATATCAGTAGTGGGAATGTGAACATGGATCAAGATTTGAATCACAAAGCTGAGTCATGAAGCTGATTTTTAACGGAGTATGCTGACAGCCCAAAGGCACTCAGTTTATATATCCACCAGGTGCTGTTGCAGGAGGAAGATGGTCACTCTCCTCCCATGCAATTTACTGCCTCTGAAAACCCGTTGGAGTCTCTCTCAGCCATGGGTCAGATCTAACTCTATGGCGCATAGCTAGCTACGTGAAAACCCAAACCTTCATAAGGAGCTCTGGGAGGCAAGTGCATTCAGTGTTGAGCTGCTCACTGAAAAAGTCAGCAATTCTAATCCACCAGCACATCTTCAGGAACTAGATGGAGAAAGCCTCTGACCTGTAAAAGTTCACACCCTCAGAAACCTCAACAGAGAGTCACTATGAGTCTGAATTCACTCAATGGCGGGGAGGTATTCTGGTTAAAAGGGTTTGCAGTGATGCAGTGTATTACACATTGGACTCCTAACTAAAAAGTTACCCCTTGAGCCCCACCAACTGCTCAGCACTAGAAAGATCAGAAAGTGTTTCCATGAAGATCTCTAACCTTGGAAATCCTATGGGCCCAACTCTTCCCTTTGAGTTGCTACGAATCAGAATAGACTTAACTTAAACACTTGATTAGTTTCCATATAAAAAAATAGGGGAATTATATTGTCTACCTCATACTTCTTTGCTGATAACTGCAGTGATATCTGTCTATATAAAAGATCCCAAGCTAGATCCAGTTTTCAATATAAACCCCCAAATCCAGCATACATAATCTGAATGATACCTTTATAAAACATAAAATGCCTTCACTGTGCATCCAATACTATGTAAAAGAGTTTAATCTTTTTTTCTTGATTATGGTTTATAGTAATTCTATAAATAACATATTAATCTCTTACATTACAGTAACCTCAGCAATAAAAGAGATCAAATAGTTTGTCTCGTGTCACATAAATGTGTAGTAAGTGGCATAACTGGCATTGCAGGCCACATCTGTTCAACACTCTTCATATTCCTGGATCTTCAGTAGCCTGTACATGGTCAGGCTAGAGAAAAGATGTAAATCTTTAAGGATATACTAATATTTTGTAAGGATCAATAGCTGAGACCTTCTTTAAAATTATTCCTGCCATCAATTATGTGGGATTGTCTGCTTCTTTGGGTTCTTTTTAATAAAGAAAGAATGAAATAATGCACTAGAAATAATAGAAGAACAACAGTTGTGCCTTTGAACATGTCACTGGTGTTGTGTACTGTTGAGTTCGAACCGACCCATAGTTGACCCTCTAGCGGGTGTTCAGAGGCAGTTAATCGCATGGCAGAAAATTACCCATCTTTCTCTCACGGAGCTGCTGGTGGCCTCAGACCATTTGCCTTCGAGATTGCAGTGCAGATATTTGCCACTAGGCCACCAGAGGATATTACCTTGATTTGTTGTTGTTATGTGCTGTTGAATTGCTTGCGACTCATAACAACCCTATGTACAATAAACCTAAACCCCACTCTATCCTGTGCCAGTCTTATTGTTTCTGATACACCTACCCCATTACCCCAGTCACTGAGTCAATCCATCTCATCCAGGGTATTCCTCTCTTGCGCTGTCCCTCCACCCTCCCAAGTACGACGTCCTTCTCCAGGGAACAAATTTAAAGTATTCCAATACTGAGATGGTTGGAATGACACAGGCTACTTCCCCATCCATAGTTAAACAAATTCTAATATCCAGGAGTAATCACAATAGGCAGCTAAATGCATATTAATAGCGGTTAGCAACTTCTAAATTTGTAGCATAGATTTTTTTTAAATTTTTAATAGCATAGTTGTTTATTTTTTTTTAATTATTTAATGTCATTTTAAGAGTACTTTTATATTTAAGAAATTAAAAAATAGTATTTGGAGAAGTTAAAGATCTGGTTATGTGAAAAGGGACATTTGATGTATCACATTCAAGTTTATTTCATTATAATTTTTTAAAGCCACCACCTTTTTTCCCTCTGTGGCTTGATTACAAATATTCAGTGTCTGAACCACAGATAAATAACTGGCCATCTTGCTTATATTCTATATAGTTTACAAAAGATCAAATGGTACTGCCAGAATCAAATTATACTGTGCTTACTACATATGAAAAATTATGCAGTGGTCTCAGCCAATTTTTTTAATGTCTAAATGGCACAGACCTAACAGTTAAAATATTTTTTTTCAGGGATTAAGGATTGTGTATTGAGTTTTGTGCAATTTGAATGATCCTAGAAAGATTAGAAGATTATCTTCTGTTTATACTGATGAAAACCTCTGTGAAAATTACAATATTAAGATGAGTGGGGTTTATTCTATCCCCAGTGATCCTGATGTCAATTTTTAATGAAAAATATAAGTAAAAAATGATATAATGTCTTGTTTTTAATCTAAACCCCTTTCCCATTGATAAGGGGCTCTGATGAACAATTGGTGTGACTCTGCCCTTTTGCTAGGTTCTCAGTGTTTATCTCCTAATATGTAACCAGTTAAATAATTTCAGGGAGAAATGAATTGAGTTCTCCCAAAATAAAGAAGAAATCCATAGCATATACAAAATATATGCTTATGAAATGGATCTCATCATTAAAACATCTTTTCATTTATGTAATAATGATCTTCATCAAGCTAAGGTCTGGCAAATGGTCTTTTTTTCTAATTTCAGCTTTCAAGCATTCATTATTTTTTTTTCTTCCTCATTAAATGGTCACATTCAATAAGTACCATGTTGAGAATTCCCAGGATAAGGGAGATCTTAAGCAGACACACAAGCTTTCAGGAAGAAAGTTGAGTTGCACGTTCAAAATGCAATGCCCTCAATGCTGACGCTATCTTTTCCTTCCCATAGGGAACCACAGTCAGATATCCCGAGTACCTGTTGCTATTAAAGTGCTGGATGTCAATGACAACGCCCCTGAATTCGCATCCGAATATGAGGCATTTTTATGTGAAAATGGAAAACCCGGCCAAGTAAATATCTCCATGTTGTTAATGCTGAATATGTTTGTATACCACTGTCTCATATTTTATTAACCTGCATTATAATGTGCATTTGCATTGTTTACATTGCAAAGTAATAGGCAAGGGGCATAGTCCAAAGGGAACAGAGAAGGAATATTTTCCTTTCTCAGATGTCCATTCTTTCTCCTTTTTATGACCAAATTGGGCTCCTTGGAATGGAATAGCTATGAACCAAGAGCAAAATAATGATTGTAAAACATCTGCACATCTGAATGACAGCAGTGCAGACTTCAAGTGGTGGGGCCTGAATTTTGACTTTCAAATACCAGGAAGCGAGGAAAAACTCTTGAGAAGGGAACACTTGTTTTATGTCAAATGTGTGAAGTAGCACTTACTAGTAGAATCTGAGAAGTCAGTAGTGCATAGTAAGTTGTAGGAAGTTAATATTAAAATCTGTAATAGTGTAGACATAATTATCTATTCTTAAGTAGTTAAGAATGATTTTAGGCATGACAGTAGATCACTTAATAATTGTATTATTGATATTGATCGAATGTATTTCATGTTTATCTGCTCTCAGCATAACTTGGGGTGATAGGGAGAAGCTGAAGAAGGAAGGGAAGGTAGACAAGAGGGGAAGAGGCAGGAAAAAAAGGGTGGAAGAAATGAAGGGAGGAAGAGGGAAAAACGTGGAGGGAGGGGGCCATGGAAAAGGCAAGAAGATAGAAAAGGAATAAATAATAAGAACAAAACTCAAAGCCTGCTCTACTCTGAATGTCATAATGGAAATAGCCTCTGTAAAGTTCTAAAAAAACACAAATGTAATAGATTTATTTTAACAAGGTGCCAAAGTACTGTATGTTTAAGAATTTTACCGTTTTTCAACTTCCTAATTTATTTCTGGATGGTGACATTTTAATTTAAATAAACAGCAGCTGACAGCATGACACTGGAGTTGTTAATCCAACTATTCTTGTTCCTCATGTGGGTGTTAGGAATTAAACTTACTATTTGCCAAGCAGCTTACCTGACAAGAGTCAGATTTTTTTTTCTCCCCCTTTAAAGAAGGGAATAGCACTGTAGCTCTCCACTTTTATTTAATCACTACAAGAGATCAATGTGTTTCATCCCAGAAAACAGTGAGTATTTTCCCCTAGACTCCTCTCATATAGCTGAAGAATTAACCTTGTCTCCATCTACCAAAATAAAGCACACACACATCAAAAAACATCAAACCCACTGATGTTGATTCTGACTAAGCAACCTCATAGGCCAGAATAGAACACCCCTTGGGTTTTCTTCTCCCCCATAGGGTTTCTAAGGCTCGAAATCTCTATGGAAGCAGATTGTCATGTCTTTCTCCCACGGAGCATCTGGTGGCTTCAAACAATCAAACTTTCAGATTGCTACTGAGGACTTATCCACTATGCCATCAGCCCTCCTTCATGCACACAGCAACTAAAAAACAACCAAACAAACAACAGCCCCAAACTCATCACTGCCATCAAGCCAGAACCTACTCATAGCTGACCCTCCAGTGAGTTTTTGGAGGCTGTAAATCACGAGGAAGGAGATTCGTCATCTTTTTTTTTTTCCCTCACCAGAGCTTCTGGTGGATTTGAACCACCAGAGAGGTGTCATATCTGGGTCAGTACTACAACTCCCTACAGACTAGGGCACTGGAATGAGTTCTTGTTGACACATAGTGAAGTTAACATTCAAATCTACTAAATTTTAACAAGACCCTCAGTCCCCAGCGGTGCATTGCCTGTGCACCCAGCAATTTGAACTTCCAGCCAGAATACGCATTGTTCTCAGACAATTTTCCCAGCGTTTTAACAGCACTTAAAATATTTAACCTTATTGTGTGTAACTGTCCGCCATCGGATATTTTTATTGTTTTCAACTGTGATTCTTTTGGTATGGATTAGATTTCATATTTATGTGTCTGACATTTATGGTCATTTGGCTTCAGTGTTGGCTTGAATGGACATAGAGTTGGATGGGAATACGGCAGATAAATTTCAAGGGTATTACTCTGTAGACCAGAATATTGAAAGGATAGTCAGTCAGAGATTTATCAGCTAGGCTTTTTACACCACACAACTCCTTCCGGATGTTCTATAATTTAAATAAAATGTCATCATTGATACCAAATTCATCACACAAATATAGAAAATCGGTGTTTTGTTGTTTTAAAATTCCATATTGGCTTCTATATTGATACTGACATAGATACCCTGTGAACTTCCACAGCCCTGGAGATTTACCTGCCGAGTTTTTCCTATTTGGGAAAATTTAATGACTTATTAGCTGTTTTTATCTTTAAAACAATATATTGTCTCATCATTTTTTTCCTCTACACCATGAAAATTTGAAAAATTCTACTATTTTCTAACTTTGACAATTCACAATGAATGACTCATTCTGTGAAAAAATATTTTTATTATATGCATCTTCTGTACCATCTTCAAAAGAAGTCTGTTTAAACATGCTATTTAGAGATCATCATTTACATGAAAGAATCAGTACTTTTGTTAACACAGAGCTGACTGATTGATGAATCTGCAGTTTTTCAAATAATCTCCTTCAACTTTGTTTTATTCTCTTTGGTAGCCAGGGCTTTTGTTTTATTCATTGCATCATTACTAGATTACTTTTCATAGTGGGGTTTCCCCCCCCCAAAAAAAATCATGATTGTTACTTAGTTACTAATCACATATATAAATTCAATGTATGTATATACTCTTTCACTCATCTCTGTATTAATTGCCACACAAATGACCCAATTAAGAATTAGAGAATGCATTATATGATGCCTTCTTGCTCATGAAAAATAAATGCAAAGCCAGAATTAATAGAAAAGTCAGATCTGTGCATCTTTTCCACCAATTCCTGTCTGCTTCGCAACATCTTCAGAGAAAGAAGAGCAAGAGACTTTACAATTTCTGGTTTGCCTGGAAGGTAAAGATTTAAAGCTAAACTCAAGGGGTTCAGCTTGCAAGGAAACAGTGCAGTTGGAGATCATTAGTAATAATCAAAGGCAAGTCAATAAAAGTCCAGTTTGTATAAACAGTCTGGATGGAGGGAGCCTCTACAAAGATATTTTTGAAACATTTCACAAAATGAAAACTTCTGTCAACATGAACATGGAGAGAATTCTATTTTGCTTGACTCTATTTCTCTCCAAAGAACTCTAAACACAGTGAGAATTAAAGAAAGAGAGAGTTCCTTTCTCTTGACCAGGCCTTTTTCAACAATTCATGGCACATCCTGAGCTAAAAATAGATGAGAAGCTCACTTTCAAGGTAGAATTGAAAATCATATCTGCTTTCCAACTTTCCAATCATCTCCTCATGATTCTTTTGTTGAAAGTTGGTGATTTTCTTGAACGTGTTCCCTCACAGGAGAAACCACCCCACCAACACTGAATGAAACAGCTCTCAATTTACATTACTCAAAAAATATGCATTTTGACTCTAAAAATGTAAACAATCTTAGTCATTGAATTGCAAGATAGTATTTTCTGATTCGCAGCTTTTTAAAATTGTATTTTCCAGTTGGTAATGTCTTTGAAGTGCCAATGGTAAGAGCTGATATATGCTTTTATACTGTTAAGAAGGATAAGAGTCACTTAAAGTGGACTTGGCCCTCAATTTAATAGGATGTTGAAGAAGAGAGAGCTCTGGTGGCTTCGTGGTAAAGGTTTATGCTCCCAACCATTCAGCACAAGGCTCAAATTCACCAGCGGATCAGCGGACGAAAGATGGTCATTCTCCTGCATGACTAAACTGCATCTGAAAACCGAGGGAAGGTGAGCTATAAATGAGTTCTGACTCAATGGCACAGGTTGTTGTTGTTGTTATGTGCCGTTGAGTAGCTTGCAACTCATAGCGACCCTATGTACAACAGCCCTAAACCCTGCTCTAGCCTGTGCCAATCACACTGTCTCTGATACACCCATCCCGATTTCTCCAGTCACTGACTCATCCCATCTCATAGAGGGCCTTCCCCTCCTGTGCTGTCCTTCCACACTCCCAAGTTTGATGTCCCTCTCCAAGGACCGGTCCCTTCTTACAACATGTCCAAAGTATGTTAGACCGAGCCTCAGAATCCTTGCCTCCAGGAGCTTCCCGGTTTAACCCTTTCCAGGATGAATCTGTTTGTTTTCCTAGCAGTCCATGGTACCCTCAGTACTCTTCTTCAGCACCACAGCTCAAAGGCATCAATTCTCCTTCTATCCTCCTTAGTCATTTTCCAACTCTCTGATGCATAACAAGTGATTGCAAAGACCGTGGCCTGTATCAGATGCACCTTAGTCTCCAGAGAGACACTGTTGCTCTTCAGTACTTTCAAGAGGTCCCTATCAGCAGACTTTCCCATCGCAATACGTCTTGGCACATAACAACAACATAAAAAGGAGCTTTTTCACTTAGTCCTTTGTGATGGGCTAAGATAGATAGAAATGGGAGTATGTGCTGTATACTTCAAAATAGACAAATGAATATCTGTTTGACAGCCAGTGTGTCTAATGTTGTTGTTGGTGGTGTGTGTTACTGAGTCAGAACTGACCCATAACTGACCCTCCAACAGGTTTTCAGAGGCAGCAAATGGCATGAGAAGAGATTACTCATTTTACTCCTGCGGAGCAGTTGGCGGTTTCGACCCACATGCCTTTGGAATTGTAGCACCATTTCTTACTACTAGACCACTAGAGTGCACCCAATAGGATGGTAGATTTTATTCACTCAATGAATATTAACTGAACAGCAACTATATGCCAAGGCTTTGCTAGACAATGGGATTCATTGTCATTTAGCATCTTACATACCATCCTTATAACCTCATTGCATTTTCTTCCTGGAAAATATATCTTTGAAGGGAGTTAGAAATTATAGACTCACAAGAGACTCCTTCAGTTTTTCAAGACATAAGGAAACAGAAGAGATGGAAAGAAATTGAGTTGTCTCTATGAAAAGACCTCTTAATATAGGATTTCTTGCACTAGG